CAGAGGACAAATAAAACAATTTTAGTTTCACAAGGGGTGAAATTGGCTGTTAATCAACAAATCAACTAACTGGATAATGGGTTTCAGTTCGCTAGTGGATCGCCAAAAGGCATTAGGCGACAAAATCAAACAATTTATTGGTAATTGCAAAAAGGCTGGAAAACCTCGCAGAACTTCTCAATTCTATACAGACAAGATACAAGAATTGCAAAGGTTGGGTGACGAATATCATGAAAATCATCAGGAAATCATGGCTTCAGTGGACAAGGTTGACGACCATGAATACTTGGTGAACAAAGAGTATCAGAGTATTCTTAAAAGGATTGTCGATTACAACAAGGTTCTAGAAATTGAAGCAATAGAGCTAGAAAAATCATCTTCAGCAAGCAATGGCACAACAATTGAGCAAAACAAACAGATAAATGATTCAAACATTCGGAAACTACTCCGAAATCAGAAGGCACTCATACGTGTAATTGAAAGAACAATAGAAGGAATCATGGTCAACAGGCAAGTTGAACAACCATCTACATACTATTCTATAAAGGCAGCCAGTCTTGAAGGATATATGGTCGATTTAACGACAAATAATACAACGTTATGGGAAGCCACCGACGAAAGCATCATTGAGGAATACACACTGGAAATGTTTTATGAACTCGAGGAAAAGGCAGGAGCTGCCATGATCGAACTACAACAATATTTGCATTATAATCAGACAATTCGCAACTCAAGACAGACAGATTGCGAATAAGAATATCACTACCAAAATTTGATGGAAACTATATGCGGTGGGTGGAATTCAAGGACTTGTATATGGAATTGGTCCACAACACGGACATCAGTGACAGCAAAAAAATGCATTATCTGACTGCATCATTGGATAACGAGCCAAAGGGGCTAATTAGACATCTTCCAGTAGTAGGAGAAAATTACAATATAGCCTGGACTATATTTACAAGTCGTTATGAAAATAAACGACTTCTGGTTACAACACTCCTAAATAAATTAATGGGACAATCCTCCATTAAAAGGGAGTCGGCACCAGCATTAAAATCTCTACACGATGTAAGCAAGGAATGCATACATGGTCTCAAGGCTCAAGGAGTTCAAGTCGAACATTGGGATGTTATCCTGGTACATCTATTGCTGCGCAAGCTGGATGCAGAAACTCTAACAGCTTTCGAACCAGGGCTAACAGACAACAAACGTTTAATAACCATTGATGAATTGCTAAAATTTTTGGAACATAGATTGTAATAATAATAATAATTATTTTTTTTACATTTTAACCTTAAATGCAAGTTTATTTCTATCACTATAAATTAATTAATAAATACATATGAATATTATACTAAATACGTACAAAATAATTGCTCAATTTGTTTAAAAAATAATATTTTCACTTTTAGCGACAGTAAAAACCTAACCTCCAAAAACAATCAAATTAGAAGACATTTTAATCGTTTTTAACAATTTTTAGCGATTGTCAATTCAGCAGAATACGGAATTTGGCGATTTAGCGATTTATACGGAGTAATCAGCTGTTTTTGAAAGTTGAAAAAATCAGCGAATAGAAATTGAGCGTAACAAGTTAGCAGAATCGCAAAAGTCGCTAATATGCATTCAAAGAATTTTAGCGATGGAAGAAATATTTCCATATAAGGATATATTCAAACGAAGGAACAATTCATATTAAAAATTATATGGTTGTGTTCGGCTGTAGTACGCCTATTGCAAGTGAAATAATTTTTAAGCACCTTAGGCTAGGTTATATCGGCGATCTCAGGGGAACCACTTATGCCCATAAGCCCATAGGCTACCATATTATTAAAAACTCAAGGGCTAAAACCATCTTAAAACTTTGGCAAAGCTTATGATGCTATTTAAAGAGAGCTCTCGAAGTTCGCCAAGATTCTCAAAAAAGAAAGTCCCTAAAATTTTCAAGCGCCGCCGCGCATGTACTGCAGCAAAAGTAGATGGGAGACATTTTTATCATACTCACCACGACTGCGGCAGATATGCTTGAAAAGGAGATTTAGTCTCCTAGCATGGTCACCTAAAATACAATGAACATGTAAGTAAACCTACTAAAAGACTGATATCTCTACGGGGCATCTCTATGAGAGAGTTTTGTTTTATTGACTAAATTGCATATAGATGCCTGTATATCGTAGAGTCTTACCATCTTTTATTAAAAAGTTAAGTACAGGAAGAACTCAATACCAATTTGCATGAAGTCAGCGATATGTCCAGATTATTTAGGTGTTCCGATTGGTTTCCTGAAGCACCCCATCTGGCTATCTCATCGGCCTTGCAATTGCCGAAAATATCGCTATGACCGGGAACGCAGATTAAAAAAATGTTGCACTGCGTCGACATCTTATTTAGTGATGTGTAGCAGTCAAAGACTGTTCGAGAATTAACATGTTTTATTAATTAATTAAATTACTAAAATTAAACTTTGTATTTATTTTATATCGAGCCATTCTGTCTTATTAACCCATTAAGTACCAGCTAAGTTCAAACTTGGAATTTTATGGTGAAATTTTCAGAAAGGTCTTATTTTACGTTAAAAATATTCCCTGCATAAATAAATTTTTTTTTTGAAAAGTAGTTTTCCGGAAAAGTGCTGTTCACACATTTAATTATTATTATTGTAAAATTGTATTATTATTATTATTGTACAATATCAAGATTTACACATTTAATTAGTAAAAATATATTTATCTATATGTAAAACAATTATTGTAAAATTTGAACATATATACTGATGTTAGCAATATCCAAACTTTGGCTTTCCTTTGCATTATTTAATTTGGTAAAATGAAGTGGCACTGAACTTGAATATTTGCATTATACTTTTTGTTAAGTGCAGTGGCACTGAACTTTGAATATGTAACATATATCAAGGCCAGTGCATTGGCATTAATTCTTGGTTGCTAGACACAACAAAGAATTTGGTTGCATAATATATGCTGAGCTTGCTCTTTGGGCAAGAAAACGGTAAAGGAAAAGAATAAAATTTAGATATTGTTATTGTAATAATTTGTAATAATTTAGTATTTAAGGCAAAATTTAATTTAATAAAAATCAGATTGAAATCAATATTCGATCTCCTTAATTCAAAATTTTAGAGTTTCAGTTCAAGTGCTGGAAACTCAGCTTTTCAATCAGGAGTTACAGTTTAAGTGCTGTCAACTCATTTTCTTAAGTGTTATTTCATTAACATTTAATTTGGTGACCCCGACGTGATTATCAGGTGAATCGCTTGATAATTCAACACGAATTTGACTTAAAGGTGTCCTACGATCACATCAACAGAGGCTTTGGTGTCAGCATCAAAAGAGGACAAAGAACACGAATTTGACGTAAAGGTGTCCTACGATCACATCAATACAGGCTTTGGTGTCAGCATCAACAGAGGACAAATAAAACAATTTTAGTTTCACAAGGGGTGAAATTGGCTGTTAATCAACAAATCAACTAACTGGATAATGGGTTTCAGTTCGCTAGTGGATCGCCAAAAGGCATTAGGCGACAAAATCAAACAATTTATTGGTAATTGCAAAAAGGCTGGAAAACCTCGCAGAACTTCTCAATTCTATACAGACAAGATACAAGAATTGCAAAGGTTGGGTGACGAATATCATGAAAATCATCAGGAAATCATGGCTTCAGTGGACAAGGTTGACGACCATGAATACTTGGTGAACAAAGAGTATCAGAGTATTCTTAAAAGGATTGTCGATTACAACAAGGTTCTAGAAATTGAAGCAATAGAGCTAGAAAAATCATCTTCAGCAAGCAATGGCACAACAATTGAGCAAAACAAACAGATAAATGATTCAAACATTCGAAAACTACTCCGAAATCAGAAGGCACTCATACGTGTAATTGAAAGAACAATAGAAGGAATCATGGTCAACAGGCAAGTTGAACAACCATCTACATACTATTCTATAAAGGCAGCCAGTCTTGAAGGATATATGGTCGATTTAACGACAAATAATACAACGTTATCGGAAGCCACCGACGAAAGCATCATTGAGGAATACACACTGGAAATGTTTTATGAACTCGAGGAAAAGGCAGGAGCTGCCATGATCGAACTACAACAATATTTGCATTATAATCAGACAATTCGCAACTCAAGACAGACAGATTGCGAATTGCCTCTACCAAGAATATCACTACCAAAATTTGATGGAAACTATATGCGGTGGGTGGAATTCAAGGACTTGTATATGGAATTGGTCCACAACACGGACATCAGTGACAGCAAAAAAATGCATTATCTGACTGCATCATTGGATAACGAGCCAAAGGGGCTAATTAGACATCTTCCAGTAGTAGGAGAAAATTACAATATAGCCTGGACTATATTTACAAGTCGTTATGAAAATAAACGACTTCTGGTTACAACACTCCTAAATCCAGTTTCAAACCAATCATCAAATAAAATAACCCTTCTAACAAACAATACCAATAAGGAATCTAATTATGTCTTATTAGGAACGGTCAGAATAAGATTGCTGGCATCAAATGGAAGACAAATTGAATGCAGAGCAGTATTGGACTCTGGCTCTCAAATCAATCTCATAACAAACCGCCTGTCAAGAAAATTGGGCTGCAAGCCTAGGCCAACGCTTATGAGTACGGAAGGCGTAGGAGCAAATGAATCAAAAATACGTCATCAAACAATAATCCGAGTACAATCAACGTTGAACGAATTTGTAGCAGAGATGGATTCACATATCATACCAATGCATTAGATCAGCCAATGCAGTATTTGAATATCGAATCCTGGGATATTCCAAAGGAATTAACTCTCGCTGATCCAGATTTTAACTTGAAAAAGAGCAGAGATCTTTTTCAAGTTACTTATTGAAGGTCAAATAAAACTAGCAGGTAGTCTTCCAACACTTCAGAATTCTATTTTCGGATGGGTTGTAGCTGGCAATGTTGAAACTTCAAATTCAAGCACAGCGACTAGTGGCATGTGCACTACTAAGGAACTAGAAGAATCCATATTTAAATTCTGGGAATCAGAGGAAATTCCAGATTCAACTTCGGAACTCACAGAAGATGAATTGCGTTGTGAGTCACATTTTTCGCAACATACTTTTCGAGGAAGTGATGGCAGATTTGTTGTGAAACTCCCACTAAAGAATCATCCATCAGTGTTACCAGATACAAAAGGAATCACTTACGAGAGGTTCAAGACAATCGAGCGCCGTTTCATTCAAAATCCTGATCTAAAGAATCAATATGTTTCATTTATGAGGGAATATGAAGCATTGGGACACATGACAAAATTCAGCGGTAGCGAATTAATATCTCCCCAATATTTCATCCCTCACCACTGTGTGCTACGTCCAGACAGCTCAACATCAAAATTGCGAGTTGTGTTTGACGCATCAGTACACAAATTATCAGGGTCATCACTAAATGACATAATGTTTAATGGTCCAAAAGTTCAAGACGAACTGTTTTCGATTTTGCTCAGATTTAGAATGCACAAATATGTTTTAAAAACTGATTTGGAAAAAATGTACCGTCAAATATGGGTTAACAAAGATGATCGAAATCTGCAACTCATAATGTGGCGAGAAAATCCCACAGAACCACTTAATTATTATCAGTTGAATACAGTTACTTATGGCACAAGAGCAGCGCCATATTTAGCAACACGCTGTCTAACAAAATTGGCGGATGAATATCAAGGAAATTATTTATATGGCGCCACATCTTTAAAAAGGGATTTTTATGTTGACGACGGTCTCATAGGAGCTGATACCATCACCGAAGCGTTACTAATTCAACAACAATTAATAACAATTCTAGACAAGGCTGGAATGAAACTAAAAAAATGGTGTGGAAATAACCCAAAACTTTTACATGGAATCGCTCCAGAAGATCAAGAAGTAAATCTCAATTTTGATTCCAAGAAAACCCAATTCACAAAGACGCTGGGTCTTTCATGGTTACCAAAGTCAGATTCATTTCGTATCAAGGTTAACATTCGAGAGCATAGTCACACAACAAAACGATCTATGAGCTCCGATTTGGCATACATATATGACCCCTTTGGTCTTATTGGTCCAATCTTGGTCACCGGTAAAATCTTGTTGCAAGGAGCATGGCAGCTAAAACTCGATTGGGATGATGATCTTCCGTCAGAAATACGTAAACAATAAACATCGTATAGAAAAGATCTGGTCTTGTTGGACAATGCAACAGTTGTAAGGCACGTATTCAGCAGTCAAGGCTACAGCCATGTTGAGCTGCATGCCTTTTGTGATGTCTCAGAAAAGGCTTATGGTGCAGCAGTATACATTAGAACAGTACAAAAGGATAAAACGATAAAACTTAATCTACTATGCTCCAGATCTCGTGTAGCACCCATAAAATCTTAAACAATTCCACGACTAGCATTGTGTGCAGCGTTGCTAGCAGCAGAACTCATGGCAAGAGTTAAACCTGATCTAGGCTATCAAGACAAAGCAACTTTTGGACAGATTCACAAATTGTGCTTTTCTGGATAAACAATCATCCAGGTAAATTACCCGTTTACGTCGCCCACCGATTTGTAAAAATCCTTCTGTTGACAATTCCAGAACAATGGCGTCACGTCCCGTCAAAACAAAATCCGGCATATATTCTGTCAAGAGGGCTTAAAGCGCGGGAATTTTCATCATGCTACATGTGGTTATATGGTCCACTATTTTTATATCAGCCAAAGCCGCTGTGGCCAGCTCCCTTCAAAAGGGAATTAATTGTTGAAGATAATACGGTGGTGCTCGCTTTATCAACACAACCACCTACTAATGAGCATGCATGGGTCTACTCGATTCATTCAAGAAATTTATTTACACATGTCCAAAAAGTTGTTGGATATGTACTTCGTTTCACAAAAAATGCACGGAAACCAAAAGAATCAAGACCGGAGACCATGCAGCTTTCACCGATGGAGCTCGACGTAGCACTTAATGACGAACTAGCACTTAAAATGCTAGTTAATGACGAATTTGTGCCAAAAACTCATAACCTCAGTTCTCTAACTCCGTTCGTAGATGAAGAAGGGGTAATACGTGTTGGCGGACGGCTAAGCTCTTCAACACTGCAATTTGATGCCATTCATCACCATTTTACCAAGCAACGATCCACTAGTAAAGTTGCTGGTAGAAAAAATACATAAAGACAATTATCAATGTGGCGCCCAAACGTTGCTGGCACAAGTGAGGCAGCGTTTTTGGCTCCTCAAAGGAAAAAGCTTGATGAGAGGTGTGATACAATAATGCTTAAGATGCAGAAGAGCAAGGCCAATTGTGTACAATCAAATCATGGGAAATTTGCCTGGACACCGTGTGCAACCAGCTTGACCGTTTCTCAGCACTGGAGTTGATTATTGTGGCCCAATATGGGTTCACTACAAAACAAGAGGTAAGCGTCCACAAAACGCGTATATCGCTGTCTTTGGCTGTTTTGCAACCAAGGCCGTACACTTAGAACTTGTGACTGATCTGACCACAGATGAATTCATTGGAGCATTAAAACGCTTCAAATCAAGACGAGGACGCTGTAAAACGTTATACTGCGACAATGCAACCAACTTCGTTGGAGCGAAAAACAATTTGCAGCAACTTACTGACGTCATCTACGCTGAACGAGCAAGGGAATCAATAGCCGAAATGTGCAGTACGAAAGGCATAGAATTTCACTTCATTCCACCAAGGTCACCACATTTCGGCGGGTTATGGAAGGCAGCAGTAAAATCTGCCAAATATTTGCTGATCAAAAATGTTTCAACTTACATCACTTACATATGAAAAGCTTGAAACTGTCGTTATTGAAGTTGAAGCAGTGTTGAACTCGCGACCCCTTTTTCCTAGCTCATCAGATACAAACGATTTGAACGCAATAACTCCAGGTCATTTTTTAATAGGTGAAGAAATCACTTCAAGCGTTGATGTGCATGCACGTGACTCTAAAGAAAAATTACTTAAACGCTGGCAACTGGTATCAGAGCTAAAACATAGTTTTTGGCAGCGCTGGACTAAGGAGTATCTAAGCGAATTGCAACAGCGCCACAATTGGAAGGGTCCAATCACCAACATACAGACCAATACGATGGTAATCCTTAAAGAAGACAATGTCCCTGTTCTGCAATGGCCTTTGAGACGCATCATCAAGGTTTACAAAGGCGAAGATGGTTTAGTGCGAGTTTGTGACATTCAAACAAAAAAGGGAGTATTTAAAAGACCGGTGCATAGATTAGCTCCATTATTTCCTGAAGACGATAAATTAGAAGATCCAACCTTTGGAAAAATGACTGAAAGAAAAATCGAATCAGAACAGACTCAAGAAACTCCAAGGTCATCTCCCGTGTCGCTTATCGTCAACATTCCATTAAATCGCATCAGAAAACCTGAATCATTAGTCAATGGGATAACTCCAACAAAACGATCATGTCTGAACCCCGGGTTGCTGCTCAGCATTATTACTCTACTCATTTTGCCACTTGCACTATGTAGTCCCGTCAATATAACAACCTTCAACAACAAACCTGGCATTTATTTTGAGCAGCTTAAACCAGTCAAAATCATGTCTGCTGATTGGAAAATGATTGTATATTTTGACCTTTCCCCATACTGACAACAAATGAGTATTTTAGCTGATGGAACAAAAAGGTTGAACAATTTATGCAACAAGGCATTGGATAACACTGCTTGCAAGGTATTACTCAACTATTTTGACCGTATAACGGAGGAACTGTAAATGGAACTTAATCTTATCTCTGTTAAAAAAAGAATAGCAAGAGTAGCTATAGACATTGTCGGAAATTTTGCCAATTCATTGTTTGGTGTCCTCGACTCAAACTACGCGGCACAAATGTCAAGCACAATAAATGCTCTTAAAAGGAACGACAATCACCTAGAACAACTCGTTAAAAACCAAACGTCAATTGTTGATTCAACCATCAATATCTTTAAGAAGAACCAATTAAACATGCATGACAAATTTGAAGAAATTGAAAAGCGCATCAATAACTGGTTGTATACAGATGAGTCAATAAACGACATAAACGTAACACAAAACATGCTTATGTTGTCAATGCAAATGCTCATGATGGTATCCAACCTGCAAAGAGTTCACTCATCAATTATGGACGTACTAATCGACAGTCATCACGATAAAATAAATCCTCTTCTGCTGACTCCACAACAGCTTAGTGAGCAAATAATGATGATTAGGGCACATCTTCCATCACACCTACAGTTACCTATCCACCACAATAACTTATTCGGAGTATATAGGCTCATGAAAATCAACGGAATCCTGGTAAAGGGCCATGTCATTTTTTGCATCGACTTACCTCTCACGGATCCAAGAGAATTTCAACTATTATATCTTGTTCCAATTGTGGCAGCTCTAAATAACATACTTTTAACAGTAAAACTTTCAACAGAATTTCTAGCCATCAGTCCGCATCATGATGAATTTCGACCAATGACACAGCATCAAGTGGACGCATGCATATCGATAAGTGACGAAGAGTTATTATGTCCAAACATACAAGCAACATTTCATGAATCGTCAAACGTCAATAATTGTGAAATTGACTTATTTAACAATCAAGCTGAACCAAGATGCGATATGTATCAGCTCAAGGACACAACTGTATGGTATCAACTAAATCATCCGAATCAATGAATTTACGCAACCATAAATAACATCAAAATGAATGCAGTATGTAATAAGAAAGCACTTCAATTAACTTTAGTGGGCAGTGGTTTGATTAAATTAGAACCTGAATGCATCATCAAAAATGAACACATTACGATTCAAGGTCATCAAAAAATGGTTACTTCAATGCAGGCATCGATCACCAGATTTAACCTATCTGTAGGATGGACAAAACAATATGCGAGCAATAACATCAGCGTCAAACCATTGTCACCCTCAATCCATGACCTTGAACTTATTCAACGAAAATTAGGCCACATCCAGAGTTCCAGTTTTCCAACTGATGCTATTAGTCCAGGGACACATAGTCTAATAACCAGCTGCGTTGCATTAACAATGTTTCTATGTGTCGCTAGTGCATTATTATATATATGGCGAAGGCAAAAAATCACCCATCAAACACCTCCAATACCGATGCCACGACATCAACAGATGACCGAGGATACAGCATGTTGACTTGCAGCTTCCAAACAATTAGAATTGATGTTGTCAATTCAAGGCGGGCAGCATGCTCACACATTTAATTATTATTATTGTAAAATTGTATTATTATTATTATTGTACAATATCAAGATTTACACATTTAATTAGTAAAAATATATTTATCTATATGTAAAACAATTATTGTAAAATTTGAACATATATACTGATGTTAGCAATATCCAAACTTTGGCTTTCCTTTGCATTATTTAATTTGGTAAAATGAAGTGGCACTGAACTTGAATATTTGCATTATACTTTTTGTTAAGTGCAGTGGCACTGAACTTTGAATATGTAACATATATCAAGGCCAGTGCATTGGCATTAATTCTTGGTTGCTAGACACAACAAAGAATTTGGTTGCATAATATATGCTGAGCTTGCTCTTTGGGCAAGAAAACGGTAAAGGAAAAGAATAAAATTTAGATATTGTTATTGTAATAATTTGTAATAATTTAGTATTTAAGGCAAAATTTAATTTAATAAAAATCAGATTGAAATCAATATTCGATCTCCTTAATTCAAAATTTTAGAGTTTCAGTTCAAGTGCTGGAAACTCAGCTTTTCAATCAGGAGTTACAGTTTAAGTGCTGTCAACTCATTTTCTTAAATGTTATTTCATTAACAAGTGCCGTGTGGTCAACCACAAAATGTGCTATGGGACCCATAGCACATTTTTCTCTCTTCGATAGTACAAACATTTTTATATGTGTTTTGTTCACAAATACATATATATGGTATTTAGTTACTTTTATGGTGAAGTAGGTATCATTGTAAGTTAAATAAAGTACACGTTAGTATAAAATTCAATGTTTTATGCTTTTCAAATATTTATTAATCAAAAAATATATTTGAAGTATTCCATATGTATTATATTATGTAAAAAGAAATAAGTTTACTTGCGTCATTGTCTACGATCAATGTAATATTTTTTATTTTCATAGAAAATTTTAAATCAATTTTCTACATGACTATTTAAATGATCATGTTTTTTTAAATATAAAAACTGTGGCATTTGGTGTAAGAACAATACAGTGGTGACGATTTTGAGTTTATATGGGGGCGTTGTTAGGCGATAGTTTTATGTAATATTTATTTAAAATAATTTTTATTTATGTGTGTTGTATTTATTTGGTTTATGGCGTGGTGTGGTGATATGTCAAAAAGTTGCTGTTACTCCGGCGACACAATGTAGATGACTGGCTGGTTTGACATTTGTTTTTTGACATTTATTACTTGTTATTTCTTGAGCTGTCGTCACAACCCTACACGCAGGGTTGCATTTATTAATGCCTTTCATAGCTTATTAACATTCCACCACCCGGTTAATCCTGCGAACTCCAGAGCGGCTAGCTTAGCGGCAGGACCATGGCTTGTTCGTACATTAGCGTTCCGTACTTGTCCATCTTTGGCGGTGGTGGCATCAAGGATGTGGCCCATTTTTCATTGTCTTTTTGGTAAACTGGAGTCACCTATTATCACCAACTGATCGGACTGTAACGGCTTTACTTCCTTGTGCCATTGTGGGCGCTTCAAAAATTGCGGCAAATATTCATTTATCCAACGTTTCCAGAATCGATTTTTAAGATTTTGCGCAATTCGCCATTGTTTGCGTAAGCAAATCTTCTTTTTGTCTTTACATGGCGTTTGAGTGGAATTTAAACTTCCCAGTAGAAAATGATTGGGAGTAAGCGATTCCGGACTGTCTGCTGTAAGAGGTATGTCCGTTAGCGGGCGACTATTGATTATATTTTCTGCTTCTATTAGTACGCTGCAAAAGGTATCAAGACGAGGTGCTTCTTCTTTTAATACTCGATGTAGTATTTGTTTTGTACACTGGACAAGACGTTCCCAACATCCACCGGCTGATGGATTAGCAGGACTGTTAAAGATCCATTCCACACCAGTTTTAGCAGTTCTTGTTGTCACGTATGCATACTGGGCAATTTCTTTTAACTTTATTTAGCAAGAAATGACAGTTTGGTATCCAAAACCTTTGATGCATTTCGTTTATAGTTAACTTACTGTTTTGATGATGATTCTTTCTATAGTAGTGATCCATGACTAGTAAGGCGATATTGTGATTGTGTGGTAAGATTATTGGATAGCGTGCGGAATCGGGAAAGCAGTGAGCGGCATCAATTCTTCCATTATTACGTAATACTCCTTGATCATCTAATTTTGGTGTCAATTGAAGCAATTGACTGGACTTCGACAATTCTTTCTTGTTTTGTAGAGCATTAATTTCTATCTTATAAAGTTCGTATTGAACTTGAGCGGCTGTAAGCTCTTTTAGTATTAATTCTCCCTTACATCGCTGCTGCAGTTTTAAATTGTTGACGAATCATAGAATCCAAGGTATTACACGAACTAGTTTTGTGAATGTTGAATACTGTTTCATATCAACAAGTGATTCATTATTAGTTATTAACAGAAATTTCTTCGTGCATTCTTCTACTGCACTATGCAGTGAATACATTTGTGTTGATTCTTTAGGCCATTCGCTTTCGTTTGCGACAAAAAGCCAGGACCCTTCATTGCGATGGTTTAATTTTTGTGGCCTCGTCGGCTATATTGACTGCTGATGGTACCCAACGTCACTGTTCTGGTAGGGTACTGGTAGGGTGAATAGCTCTGCTATACGATTGGCGATAAACGTCGTTCTACGTTTAACAATCTACGTTTAGCCATCTCATAGCTATGCGGTAAGTGGATGTTGTCTTCTTTCCATAATAATCCAACTTCATATCGTTCACCGATATTTTTTACAGTATCTTCAAGAATTTTTCTAGCTCGACTATCCTCTGTGGATTCAAATAAGGTGCTAGTATTTTTCATGCCCAAACTATCTACCTCAAAGTATTCTTTCACTAGCTGATGTAATTTTATGTCATGTGTTTTACGCATATGTAAGACATTAATAACGGGATTGACACTAAATTGTGTTGGTCCATAGGCAACCCATCCCAGTTTTGTGGCAGCGGCAATAGGTTCACTAGAACCGGCATAAATTGTCCGTTTGGCTACACTTAGTATGCTGTGGTCCAGACCAATCAACAAACTATGCTTGATGTCTGCATAACCTTCAATTGCAAATGAGATAGATGATTGTATTGACTTCTGTCAAATGTTTGTTTCGGCAAATCTAGATTTCTGGCTGTATACACATTCTTTAATTGATACGTTGTACATTCATTTATACCTTTAACTTCTAGGTTTACAACACGAGATTACTCGGTAGTCTCCTTTTGGTTTTACCATTGATGTTGTTCGGCAACATCTTCCTCAAGTAGCGTTACAGACGAACCTTCATCGAACATTGCATAGACTGTTGTGGTTGTTCGAGGGCCGCTTACGACAACTGGTAGAGTTTTGAACAAGCAAGCGTTAAAGTTATTGTGACAATTAAGTATGTGTTCGCGTCTATTCTGAGAAATTGACGTAGAGTCTACTTCAGTTGATGGCGACGTCGAAGTAGACGTGACTGGTGGCATTGTTTTGATGGCTTTGGCAACTGACTGGTGCAGAAGGTGATGATGCATGCATCTGCATTCATCAATTCCACATGCACGTTTAGACCGGCATTCCATTAGGCTGTGACCTCGTTGAAGACAACTGAAGTATAGAGGACTCTCTTTAACAAATTCCCATCTACTGGATATACTTAGCGACTTGAATTGGCGACATGAACTTAATTTGTAACCTTGAGTACATTTGGTGCAAAACATCTGCTGCTCGTCATTGTGTTGACTATGAAATTTTGATTGTGTACTGTTGTGAAGTACACGACGTGCAACATTTTGATTAAAGTTTCCTGATACAGCTTGTGACTGGTAGGTGACGGAACGCACATTCCCCGAAGATGGCTGACTATGACATTGAAATATTGGTACGACCGATGGCATTACACTTACGACCTTTGCAAGGTCACTTTACTATTCAGCAAACATCTCGATATTGGGAAATTGAAGAATATTGGTGGCGTACCGACTCCATTTGAATTGTTTTAATGGTGGTAATTTTAGCATGAGCTGTTCCAATAACATAGGATTCGTTAGATGATGAGTGCAATTAGCTGCTTTGAAAAAGGCAACTATATTGCGCACTTGATTGGAGATATCAATCACACTTTCAAGACGGTTTTCATAAATAGTTGGAAACTGTTCTATTTCTTGCATTTGCGCTCGTATTAACACCTCAGGACGACCAAAATCAAATTCTAACTCTTGTAGTACTTGTGGCACATTATCAGGAGATATAAGCAATTTAGCATTACCGTGAAAAGCCTAGTTCAAGCTTATTAAATTTTGACGATTATTATATTTAAACTAACAGGTAGTGTCTCTATAACTGGCTCTAAATAATGGCCAATACTCTGGATTACCATCAAAATTTGGCAATGGATATAACTTTGTGGCTGCATTGTCTACGAATGAAATCATGCGTGGCGCTGCGGATTGATGTGGTAACGATACATTAACCGGAGA